CATACCATGTATTCATCACTTCAGGGGAAATTACATTCACTTACATGCATTTCCTGGAGACTTATCCTAACCTTAATCATAACCAACACATGCCTAACCCTAACCCTAACCCTAACCCTAATGACCGTTACCCTCAACCTTACCCTTACCCTAACCCTAAACCTAAACCTAACCAAGTCTTCACCCTAAAATTAATGATTCCCCTCATGGGGACCTCCAATTTGTCCCCATAAGGGAGGCGAGTCCCCACACGTGACTGTGTAAACATATTTAGGNGTTGATATTGGAGATTTCAATAAATTCAATTTTAAAGACCTAGGGCGAGATGTTTTTGTTTGGGGGCTTTTTGCAGGGCTTCGTGTGCAATCCTGTGAGGAGGAGGTGGTAGCCGTTTCAGTCAACATATCCATGTTTAAAGTGCGATTGCGAACTGCTTGTTGTTGTTTTGGGTGACCCACGTGTTTGGCGATGCGTCGACGAGGAAATATGTCGTCGACGATATTTTGAAGTCGACGCGTCGACGCATCGCTACAGCACTAGCAAAGAGCAGGGTACACACTGTGCAGGTCACCTGACACTCAAACCCATTAACTACAGGCAATTTAGAGTTTCCACTCTACCTAACTTGCTTGTTTTTGGATTGTGGAGGGAGGCGTGGAGAAAATTAACAAAGACACAAGGTAAACATGCAAACAGAGAAAGGCTCCAGGATGCTAGATTAACTTTCGAATGCTGGCTGCTCTTACTGCAGTGAACATTTATCCTCAATTGCACTATACCAATATTGGTCCAATTACTGTAGCAGGCCCCACTCCAATTCTAGCTCCATGTGGTATGTTTAAGATGAGTTTGACAGCTTCATGCTCCTGCCCCTGATTATGAAATAATAATAGCCCGCACAGTAACTCTCTTAATTGACAACAGCAGGCTTTATTTCCCCTTTGAGGGAAGCCAGAGCATTATGACACTGCAGTCATGTAAGTGCAAAACTGAACCAGGGCCTCCTGTGGCACATGTAACCTTATAAAGCTGCAAAGTCACCACAACAAAAGAAAAATACAGCCTAGAATGTTTTACATGTCTCTCCTCTCTACATGTGTCTCCATATCTGTATTTACCCTCATCCCCCTCACTCATCCTCCCAGCAGCTATCGATTAGAAAATGAAAAACCCTGGACAAGCACAAGGACAAACGCTGTGGTGTCTGTTTAGAAAAGCTACATTAGCACACAAACCCCACTTCCAGATAAAAAAAACCCAGCTGCACGGAAGAAGCGACCGAAATGCGTCATCATCTACGTAAAGAAATATGACATTAATGACCCGGAGAAGGATGAACACCCTATATAAGCCTTGAGCATTGGCCACCTGCATACAATCTGTTACTGGCAGACATAGCCACAGAAAGAGAAATAGAGAGAGACCTTGCAGATTGAATAAGGAGCAAGCACATAGATGGTAAGTTACACCGAAGGCAACCACCCTTCGTGCCTCCGTCAGCAAATCTGATAGGCCTTGCCTTAAGCAGAGTATAGAAAAAAACATACAGGGGGGAGGACTGATGGATGGTGACAAATGAGTGGCTGAGCCAAGGGAATCACTCAGGGAGAACGAGGAGAGGAGATGAGATGGGAGGAGAGGAGAGGAAAAAAAGGAGAGGAAAGGTTCAAGGTAAAAGAAGTGCGAGTGTGGGGAAAAGATAAGTGACATTAATGATGCCATGCTGGACAGGAGACGATAGGGACAAATTATGCAGCTTAAGGATGAGAAGCTTTGAATAGGAACGAATGCTCAGACAGATATTTAACAGCAAGCAGTGACACCCACACAAAGCATAGTTTTCACACATTCAGAGCAGACAAGCAAACAGTGAAGCCTGCACTTACACCGGACACAAACCGAGCTCTCAGGTTGACATGTTTCATCACTTGGACATCTACCATCTCTGGGGCCCAATGAGAATCAAGCAAAACCTCTTCAGGGGACATTTCCATTAATTTCTGGTGACCAGTGCCATGTTGTTATTGTTCACTGTCGTAGAAATGAGCACAGTCCCTGGGTTTAACATATATTAGCTGAAAAGCCTTTAATGGCCTTTAAGATCATTCACTAAAACAGATGTTGCATGGGAGTCACAGTGTGATGCACACCTACTGCAGGGCTTATCAGACAAACTAGCTTAACCAACAAAAGCTTTGCATTAGAGGTATATTAGTAATACAAAGAAGAAAATCGACCCAACCCACAGCATTTGTCATTTCAGCTCCAGTTAAATGGGATAACATGGTATCGATGTTAGTGTTGTTGGTGTGTTAAAACAAGAAGCTTTAACAGTCAGCAGTGTTGTGGAGTCCACATTACACTGCAAATTGCACCATACTTGTCGTCTGGGATTTTATTCAACATATATTTTGCTGTTCTCTGTCATCATCAAGTCACTCAAAAGACAGTACAGATTGGGGATGCCAACTGTCCATCAACCTGAACTTGGCAGGTTAGAGGGTTACTCAATAATGCATCTGTTTAAAAAGCATGTGGACCTCTCTGTATTATCTGTCGTTTTTCCTAATATGAAATATAAAAAAGAGGTAATATGTACTGTATGTATGAAAAAATGAAACACTGATAGAATATGGCTACATTTTACAATCTCTAGTCCAATTGCTAAATGCCTCAGCCTGTCACAGCTTGCTGTGGGGGCTGCGGTCTGTTCCTCAGCCTCCTCCATGCAGAAATGTGGATTTTCTGGCATCAGTAATATGCAAAGATGGTGGCAAATAGTAAATCCAAATTGAGGGTTTAATGATTTCTTCAGAAACCTAATGAATGTTTTCCTACAGCTTGTATTTCTGACAGGTGGTGATTATTGTGTTGTATAGTAACTAAGTAGATTTACTGAAGTACTGTACTTAAGTATTTTGAGGGAATTGTATTTTACTTGAGTATTTACATGTTTTGCTACGTTGTACTTCTACCCCACAACAATTCACAGGTACATTGTGTAGTTTTACTCTACTACATTTATTTAGAACCTTTAGTTACTTGCAGATTTTGAGTAACGATTTGAATAACATTGAACAGATAAATGAAGACTTTAGTTACACCTGGAGTAAGATAAAAGTAATTAAAATTAGCTGCACCTTTATCAGATGTTATAACACTCTTACATAGTGAGTACTTTTACTTTTGGTACTTTAAGTACATTTTGATGCTAATACTTTTATACTGTTTTCCTACAGCTTGTATTTGTCACAGGTAGTGATTATTGTAGGTGCCTGGAGGCGTTTCCTAGGGAGAAGGTGGTCATGCATCCTGCAGCCCTGGCTCTTTCTATATGTCAACCCAGGTAATTAAAGATATTTACAGTCATACTACTGTACATATCATATTGCCCGTTCATATATCGATTCAAGGTTTGTTGTCCTGCTGACCACACACATTTATACATGCGTGTATTTACTAGACAAAGTATACAGCCACGCATAGCCTATAGGCAATACAAACGTTACTATCCAACTTTACCTGCTTCCCACATACATTAAGCTAACGGTAAGTTAGCTACTAGCTTAACGTTAGCTTACCGATTCCCTGCTAGCAAAGATGAGTCGGGACTTTCTGCTTACAGTAGAGGAAAATGGATGTCAGGTTTATGAAATAATTACTAAAGACAGACAGATACGGTTACATTTGAAAGTACCCATGTCTCCGGCGTCCATGCCGTAGCTAACTCCGACGACCGTGTCCCCATCATCGGATGCTGCGTCCCCGGACAGCGGGCTCCCGTCCCCGGCCTCCGACAGCCCGACCGCTCCCTCTGCTTCCATTCAGCCTCCCGGAGGAAAAACAGGCAAGCCCTCCGATTGAAAGACCCACAGCGACGGTGCGAGAGCAAGGAGGGGATGTGTTATTGGATAAGTAGCTATAATCAACCTTAGGAATATGTGATAGTAATCCGCGACGGTCCCTTCATGTGTGCGGTGTTTTCCTCACGAACAGCGTCCGCTCCTCTCCGCTCACCGCACTTGCTGCTGATGGTGCTGTGACTGTGATGGTACTGCTTCCTGGCTCCGTGATGCCGGACACTGTGGCTCCCTCTGCAGAAAGTTATGGAGAACTGCAGCCAGGAGCTTCATAGTATTTTTCAGTTTGTCTGCATGCAGAGGTCAGTTTTTAATTTAATTTGAGCGCATGTTGTTGATGATATTGGTGATGTTTTTAATGTTGTTAATGATGTCAGGACTTATGTCCTAAATGTTGCTGTATTGTTGTATTATTGTTGTATTGTTTTAAGTGTCGGACCCCAGGAAGAGTAGCTTTTGTCGAGAGCAAAAGCTAATGGGGATCCTTAATAAACATAAACATAAGCTTTAGGGTGCTCTTCTGGACGCGTTTCATTGTAGCGTTTTCTGAAATGCTGTGGCGTTTTCTGAAAAGCTGTGTTTTGTGAAATGCTGTAGTGTTTTGTGAAATGTTGTTTTGACTTGCATTTCAGGGCCACCTATTATACTATGTTTCATCAATATATTGCAGGTCTCAGATATATACAAAACATGTCTCTGAAGTGTTTGGCTCCAAATACCAAACAGATCATGGCTTGTAGCATGTCATAAACCCCTCTGTTTCAGCCCTTTTTCAAAAGTTCTGATTCTCTGTCTTTTACTTTAGATGAAAATAAGGAGCCCCTCCCCACGCCCCTCTGCGAGATATTTGGTTAAAAAAANACAAATCGCAATCCGCGCCTCTTTCTCTGATATTTTTAAATATCTCCAAGCGCCAGACATGTTGAAAAGCCGAAAGGGCCTTTTTAATCATTTTCGGCCGATAATTTTCGGCGGCCGAATATTCGGTGCATCCCTAGTAGATAGGTTATATTTACACCATAACGGTGCACAGCTGATAGAAAGGGATTTTTTTGTAGTTTTTAAAGATATTATTTACTGAACTACNAAAAAAACACAATGGTGCTCTAGGAGGAGATTCAGGTGATAAGGTCGGGGGTTACCTTGGTTGGTTGTTGGCTAATGGTTACACAAGCCAAAAAGACGTTATGACATCATAAAGTGGCCAAAATCTGATCTGCTAATTTTCAGACAGGTTTTTATATAAATGGATCAGGACAAAAAGAGAGTGAATCTTTTTTCCTGACACTTTCAGAATCTCTTAATGCAGAAGGGACACATGTTGATGTAGAAAAGACATGACAAAGTGGATTTTGCATAATAGGTGACGTTTAACTGACAGGGTGGTTGCATGGGGAAATACCTGGATGATTGACTATCATAGTTTTGGAGATACAATTGACTTTATATGTAAAGAGCTAGTCACAGAATGTTTTTAATTAGAGACTCAAGGGGTTTGGGGTGAAACAAAATCTTACTTTGGTTAACTAAACTAAGCCAATATTGTTAACACAACAGGAAAGATAGTAGGCTGCCAACAAAGACAATAAAGGACATCTCCATCACAGCTGTACACATTAAAGCCCTGTCAAATTTGAGCTATAACACATATTCCTTTAGAATTACGTTATACCTCATCCTTGGTGTAATCTTTTTATAATACGAACAGGCAGATTTCTTAAGTCTTCTTCAACCACTATTGTAAATGCACAAACTGTAATGTGTAATCATTACTGTGCCTGTAATCTAAGGTAATGATTTGTCAGTGAACAAAACTATGACATTATTCATTTTTCAATCCAGAAAAAAGAAATCTCATATTAATTTTATGCTCCAGTGCTCAACCTTTTTCAGTATGGCAATAAATGATTTTTCTTTCCTTTTTTCACCATTTCCATTACACAGAATAAAAAACGATTTCTCAGGATAAAAAAAAACATCTATTCTACAAGCAAGCACATCTCATATGATATAACATAACTTGACAAATGCCAATGTTTTCCTGACAGCCAAAATGATAGACAAAGATGTCATTAGGGCAACATTTAGTGCAATTTATTATGAAAACAATGCCACACATGAAACTGTTAACAGAGGGTCCTTTCCCCTTCTCTCTCTAGAACCAAATGAAAGCAAGTCTGGTTTTCTTCCAAGCAGGTTTGCACGCCATTTTCATCAGGTCTGCTCTGTCCGCCGTGCGGGTTTATGAACAGGCCGTCACTGGTCTGGGGGGAAACCTAAACTTTATCCACTGGTGCCAGAGAGAGCCAGAGAAAGGAGCATATATGATAGAGTTTCAGTAAGTGAGGCATCAATCATCCATTTACAAGTATCGAGGAAGATCCTTCTCCACCACCTGGAAAAAAGAAGAAGAGAAGAAGTTAAAATCTACAGTCCTAATGAAAGAAGAAGAAGAGAAGAAGCACACATTGTATATACTATTTAAAGGTGACCTATCATGCAAAATGCACTTTTGTACGTCTTTTATACATGAATATGTGTCCCCGGTGTTCCAGGGAACTCACCAAGTGTCAGAAAACACAACCCTCTCTCTTTTCCTCCAAACCCAAATCTCTTAAAAAGGGGCTGCAACGGATCTGATACAGACTGATCCAGATTTGAACACTTCTATGACGTCACAGAAGTGACGCTACGGCTATTGGGCCAGCTCCACCAATCAGGAGGAGACAGCCACGGACATTGCCGTTTGAAAGCGCTGGAGACGCTGTAGTACATATGCCAGGCCTGTAGATGGTGCTGTTCTCACAGAATCAGCCCATGCAAAGACAGTGTTAAATTGAGCGAAATGAGGAATGGCTAAAATGCATGATCTGTTTGGTATTTTGAAAAATAAAAAGTATAAATATGCCTTATATAGGTATGGTCCTACACTATATTATT